TGTCATCTTCCTCCAGAGGTTTGTGTTTCGTTCTTCTGGGACTTGGGGAGTAATACTTTGGACCATGTTCTTTAGACTAAAGAGAATGAGGATGTCTGATGTCTTTCTTGATATCTCTGTCTCTTCTGGACCAGCTAGCACCCACAAGATGAAGGTTGTCCTAAATATTAGGCTCATCTCTCCAGACTTCCATCTTCTCCTGTTAATTCTTGTTACTTTTTGCTACCCTGTCAGTTCTCTGATGTTGTCAATTAAATTTTTAAACTACTTGCCCAGCTTTTCTAATTATCTTCTGCAGAAAGGTTTATTTCAAATTATCTAGTATTGCATTATCAGAAGGCAGAAATCCTCTTGTCTCTTTCAATGTTACCCTTAATTTTGAGTATAGAATGTTTTGGCCATATATTTTACATGGCTGCGTACTATTCCACTAATAGGCTAAGCCACACATTTTTTTTTTTACCGTTTAATCTTCAGTTGGAAGTTTTAGTGATTTGCCTCTCCATTGCTCATGGTTTCCCATGATACACAATGGAGTTTCCTCTATTAGTTTAAGCAGAAAGGTATTTTTTCTTTTCTTCTGCTAAGGATGAAACCCAGCTCCCAGTACATCCTAAGCAAGTGCTTTCCCAGTGAGCAGCACCCCAGCCCCCGTGGATTTTTACAGAGAGCCTGGCAGTGGACATTGTCTGCAGGAAGGCCAGCAGGCTAGGGTTGAGTACCACCAGGCCAGGAACAGCTGAGAGGGAAAATTCCTCAACTTCTAGTATCTGCTGCTTGATAGCCCCAACACTGGGGACCAGGCAGGATCTGGATCTGAGCTGCCCCACAAGAACCAGATGTCACCACCGTCCTGCTGGTACTCAACAAAAGCTTCCTGTCTTGCAAGGTGCTTCTCTGTGGGAGAACACACGGTAACTGCAGAAGGAGCCCAGCCTCCCAGGAGTCGCTCAGCAGTGGAAGGACCACCAAAGGGTGCCAAGCTGTCAGGCACCCGGAGCCCTGCAGACTCAGCACCTCACCTTTATGCCCTTTCCAAGAGCAGCATCTCCGCCACTGGCCTCATTGAGACTCTTGGGTCCTTGTTCCTGGACTTCTGGAGAACGTCAGAGGGACCTCAGACTTGGCCAAGAAAGTAGGGCCCTCTGCAGCTCATACCAATTTGGACAACATCGGTACTGCTTCTTGTTTTGGCTTTTATTGGGAAGCAAAAGGGAGCTGAGCAGGAAATTTTTTCAGGGTTTTTTTT